CCTCTTATAAATGTCATTTGCTTGGGATAATTTGGAATGGCTGATGCTGGTTTGCTCAAAGAGTCATAAGAAGAGCTACAATCCTTTCTTGTTTCCCTTGTGAATTTGAAATGTTGTCTTTCTTTCCTGTGTAATTTTTAAAAATTTCATCATGTTATTTCCTATATTCCATGTTTTTCCTTTAATCATCTCAACACATTGCTCCACCATGTTCTTGCTGATAGTCCCATCCATTTGACATAGGTACTTGTTCTGGTTTCCAATTATTTACTTAATAAGAGTATCGTTTTATGAATCTCCTTTGCCAGATTATCCCTCATACCTTTATTAATACTCAAGAGATTTTGAAATTAATTTCTCCCTGTTCACATTTTTAAATTTTTATTTTCCCCCTTAATTTCTTTATTAGATGGTTGATTACATCACAAATGCTTTTATTCCTTTCAGAGCAGAGGACCAATGTTCATCCAGATGTATTTATAGTTTTTATATCTCTTCAATCAAACTTGGCTTTACAGAAATGCAAATTGAAGCGATTTCATTTCTATTCACAAAGTTTACTTGTGATGAATAAACACACAGAGGCAATATTAAAAAATGAAAAGAGACAGAGCTTATAGAAGCATAGAGGACATTTCATAGATTTTAGAGACCTTGTACCTCTCAGTTTTAAGCTTGATTCTTAGCTGTACTTACACAGCAATCCCCAGATCACCAGGCCATGGGGTTCTTGACCTGAGGTATAAGGCTTGTGCTTGTAAAAGCTGTGCTGAAGCTTTCACCCTTCATCATGCAGTTCAGGATATATTAAGAAACAGGAAACCTTTGGCCATGTGCATTTGTACCATGTTGGTTATTTCAGAAGGCCAGGAATGGGAGACATAAGATCCTGTGCTTTTTCTCCTTTTTATAAAGACATATGGATATCTTGGTTCAGCCCCAGCCATCACTGCCCCTACAGCAGGAGGGGTGGGGTGAAGAGAGCAGTAAGTGGAAAAGTGAGAAAAGGAACTATGTGGGGGAGGAAAGCTGAACATTAGTTGGGTACTAAACTGCTCAGTCTTGTCAGCACAGGGGCATCCATGAGATGCCAGGAGGCAGAGCTGAGGCAGCTGGAACACTGCTGCTGCCAGGAGATGAGGCACTGCAGAGCTGGACACTTCAGGGCTGCCAGTTGCCTCTGCATTTTGAAGACAACAAGGGTGGATATTAAACTTTGTCATCCACTAAGTGATTACATCCTATTTTAGATCTGGCTTTCCTTAAAGAGTTCAATCAATGGTGGGTAAGTCTGCATTTCAAGTCGTGTCAGGCTGTGCTATCAAAGCTCAGGTGAGGCTTCACAGGAGTCGTGAACTGCTGCTTTGTGTGGCAGGTTGGACCCATTCCCACGTGCTGGCTTTATCAGGAGATAGGAGTTATGTCCTCTTCAACTGCACACTTGGGCTAAGGCTGTGTGGCTGCTGCCCTTGTCTCCACTTGCCAGGAACCCAAAGCACTGCCTGGGTCTTGTATTTCCCTTGAACAAGCAGAGAATGTGAGCTCCAGCAGAGAGGATTTGCCACAACATTGCAAGCCCCCAGCTGCCCCAAGACATTGTGTTTCCAGGTATACTGCTCTGCATTCCCACACCAGACTGCAGCCTAGGGCGTGAAGATGGAGGGTGACCCAGGCAAACAATGAACATGAGCTTATTGAGATGGAAATGCTAAAATGATTGCCATTTATATGTGTACATACAGCCAGATTATTAAACACTGCAGGAAGAGGCATATAAAATGTCTTCATATAGATGGAGAAGCAGGTCTAGTGAACATGATAAATATTCATCTTGTTTTATTATGCTGTTCATAAAGTTTGCAATATTTCCAAGCACTATCTATATATTTCTGAGTGTTTTGATTATAAACCTCTTTTGGACAGAGCATTTCACTTTTTTACATTAGTCTAATGTCTGCACTTGGATAGAGATGGAGACAGGAAGAGGAAGCATAATTCTTGGCCTTGGAGACCTTAGAACATCAAAGGCATCTACTGTAATGTCAGATTCTTAATGTTAATAACTATGAGACTTATGAAAGGGCAGACTCTTACCCCTACTTCTGCCAATTTGCTCTATTTGTGTAGTTTTCATTAATCTCAGGCAACCCCATTCATCACTTTCCCTGAAGGCTTTCTGCTGGCTGGATTTGTTACTGTCTGAACTACCTGAAATAAGGAGCTTTTACAATCCACTTGGGGGAACCATTTCTAGAGACTGGCTCCCTTTCCTCTCAGCTCAGCTCCTTTCTCAATTTCATCAGCAAGGTTGCTGGCAGAATTCCTCCTCTTTCTGTTCCACTGTGACTATATGTTGAGGGCATCTCAATTTTGTCACTTTTCTCAAGTAGTGAATCTTTTCTGATAGACTGAAGTTGAAAAGACATAATGAAGCTGAGACATAATGACAGATCACTTTTGGGTAGTTACCCAGAACCACTGGTGCAAAATAAAAATTTTGATCAGACTCTAACATTAATTCTTAGTGTGTTCACATGAAAAAATATAACACAAGAATTTCTCCATGTGTGAGCATATACCCAGCAAACAGTCTGACGTTACTATTAAGCAAAGGTTAAAAACCCCACAATGTTGCATTTTTTTGTTTTATTGCCCCTTATTACCTCTGTTTTCCTAACTCATTGGTGCCTCCAGATCAACAATAACAACAATAATTTTTAATGAAGAAGAAAATAACAGAGTGAAATAAAAGTTTAAAAAAAACGAGCAGTGAAAATTAAAACAATTTCTCACCACCAAACAACCGATGCCGAGAAAGTCATCAAGCAGAGATGCATCCCCTCCACTAACCTTCTCTCTAGTTCATTGCTGAGCGAGATGTCACATGGTATGGAATATAGGCTCACAGGATGATAGAAACATAGAATGCTTTGGGTTGGAAGGGACCTTCAAGATCATCTTGTTGCAATCCCCTTACCATGTGCAGGGACATCTTCAAAAGGATTAGGTTGCCCAGAGCCCCATCCAGCCTGGTCTTGAACACTTAGGGATGGGGCATTCACAGCTTCTCTGGGCAACCTTTGCCAGTATCTCACCATCCTCACAGTAAAGAATTTCTTCCTAATAGCTAATCTAAACCTACTCTTTTTCAGTTTGAAGTCATTCCCCCTTGCATTGTCACTATACTTCCTTGTAAAAAGTCCCTCTCCAGCTTTTTTGTAAACCCCTTTAGGTGCTGTCAGGCCACAAAAAGGTCACCTTAGAGCCTTCTCCAGAATACGCAACAGCAACTCTCTTGGTCTCTGTGATCTGGATGAACCTCTGTTCTGGTTTTGCCTGGGATAGAATTAATTTTCTTCACAGTAGCTAGTATGAGGTTATGCATCCTTTGGCTGAGCATAACTGGCATTTAAATAAATTAAAAACCTTAGAAACCTGACAGAAACTAAAAAGTAGCAGCCTCAGTCTTAATGACTCTGATAAAAGCTCCTCACCAAGTGTCAAGTCAAAGAGACAAGATGGCACCAAAGGCCAAAGAGAGAAAAATCCCAAAATAAACTAGACATTTTTGGCAAGGTAGCCAGTAAAGAAGCAAAATTCAAAATTCAAAACACAAGGCACAAGGTAAAAAAAGCAATTTGTGCCCTAGAAAATTCATATACCTCTAAGTGATAAAAACTTCACGCTGTGTCAGATTTTCCTAAAACTTCTTGCTGAGGAAGTTGTCAAGCATCAATGATTCTTGAATTGGTCCTGGATCAGTCCCAGATGTTTCTGGTCACCCTGACCCTGGCTGCTTGCTATTCTTTGCTTCCCCATTCATTTTGTTCATCTCCTTTGCAAGACTTTGCATGTGGCTGAAGCATCACTGTTAAAGGAACATCTTGCAGTGGCCCTTTCATGGTTTGTGAAGATTAAACACATAGATTAATGGAAACAGAATATACATGGATGGATTTGCATGGAATTTGTATGGTACAGCAAATTAACCTTTATGTACCACTAGTTAGGCACCACTGATTTTTAAACCTTTAACAAAGATGCCATTTCTGAAGTTCGAACTTTCAAAACTATGTAAACTCTGTTGATGCCAGGTGCAACTATTACCACTTGCTGTGAAATTGAGCTACTATAGCTTAATAGAAAGTTCATTTCTTGGAAGAAACCAGGCAAATACCAAACTAGAACTTTCTGTCGTTGACCTGCAGAGAAGCCTACCAGGAAATTTTCATTTGCTCAGCTTTCACTCCTTGGAGTAGGGCACTGTGGCTTTTCTCAGTTTAATATCTCTTCTTTGTAAACTATTATTGCTGAATTTGAAACATAGGTCACAGAGGTTCCAATCTTAATTAGGCATCTAATGCACTTCAACGGTAAAGGGGATAATTTCAGGAAATCAGCATTCCCAAATTGTGCAGTCAAATATATTTTCTTCTTGAGAGAGGCAGTCTGTGTAGCTGCAACTATGCCACCAAGTACTGGGTATTTGTTGGGGGTCTTTTAGCACTCTCAGGCACGGGGTGTGAGAGTGTCAGGTTGCATCATCAAAAAAGTAAATGAAACCAGAATGCTAATATTTTTGGTTTTGTAGCAGAAAAGCTGAAACCTGTAAAATAAATACTAGATCTACACTGCATGCAATCTCTTTTTTTGTCTTTTTTTTTATAAATTAATAAAACAATCTAATCTAGGGAATAATGAAAAGTCAAGTATGTAACACTACTATAGGTACCAGCTTGTTCTAACAGCTGAAGAAAAATGAATTTACTATATACTAGACATGCAGGTGCCCATTTTACATATTTAGGCCATTTTTAACCCAGTCAGACTTCCAAGAACTGAGCCTGTGGTTACTAATGAGCCTCCAAACTGATGATGCATCTATTTGTGAGCCAAAAAATTCTGCTACATATGAGGCTACACATGAGGAAAGCTGAATTAGCTTCTGGCTACTTGTATGTGCCTACTTTGGCTAATGAATGAATTTTACAAATTCCATGTTTTGTCAGAAATACCATCTTTTATTACAATAGAACCTGCAGTCACATGCATAAATATTGGTGCAGTAAAACATATTTTGATTGGCTGTTTCCTGGTAATTGACACTAAATTCAGTTCTCACATCTGTTACCAGTTTCACTTCATCCAGCTAGAAAAGGTGTTTCAAGAAGTAAAACAACACTGCTGTTTAAAGGTGAACATTCTCCTTCCCTCCCTCCCTCCCTCCCCATTTTATAGAGTCATGTAGGTTAAAACAGAAAAAGAAATACGAAGATAAAATATTGATGTACAACAATTCAAGCTAAATGCATATATGTCTATGCTACCCAAAGTATTTAGGGTCATGATGTTTTATTTGTATGGAGCTTCAATACAGAAAATGAAAAACATTCTGTCATTACTAGTGTTGCAGATGTCTGGGGGTGAAGAGTTTCAATCACTGTTTTCTTTGAGTGTTTTGGGGTGATCTCTCATGTCCAGCACCTCCTTTGCTCATCAACATGTGGTTTGAAGCGTTGGGATATCCAGAGGGGCATATTTGGAGACCTACAATGAAAATGAATTTTAATTCCACTTTTCAGTACCTTTGCCCATTTGCAAGGCAATAGAGACTCATCATTCATTACTTATTGCAAACAGAATGGGAAAATGTTTAGTTTTGAAATGGATGTGTGATTAAGATGCCTCATCCCTGGTAACCAGCAGAGGACATAGCACAGAGTGTATCAAAAAACCCAAGGAAATCCAAGCTGTTAGGTACTGACACAGTATAATTAAACTTTATATTTCCTGAAAGGGTATTGGCAAAAAACTGAGCTCATTAATTCTAAATTAAAGCTTTTATTCTGACCTGTCTACAACAACCTCCTCTAAAAAGGCTCTGTTTGCTAGATATTCAGGTTACATTCACACATTTATTGAGGTATAGAAAAATCCTTGACAGATTTTTATCACTTTAGTACAAATAAAAATGAATATATGTAATTATGTAACCTCCTAAGGAGGACTGATTTTTGATTCCTTAGTCTAGCAATTGGCCACACTCTGTCCTCCATCTACCAGAGTTGGAAAATCTGCCCAAGAAGTGACTGCAGTGGAACCTGACATGACAAACATTATGGAACAGATAATGAGCCCATATTTAAAAGCTGATTTATTGCACAATAGACTGCAGAACAAAAATATCTCTATATGTAATTTAAGTGTTTTATTTATGCAGGGTTGTTTTAATTACTGTTATACCAGATCATTCGCCATAGCTCTCAAAGTCTTGTGGAATTTCCCATTATGCTTAGTGATATTGCTAGAAGCCACCAAATGAAGGTGATAAGAAGATAAGCACAGCACATTAGGAACTGCTGGGTTTGTTGTGAGTTGGGCATAAAAGTATGGCAATTTCATCTGCTTCACCTGAGACCTACAGATTCATAAGTGGAGTACGGGGCTCAACCCATGAAAAATTAGCCCTTTAGAAGCTATCTGAAGCATCCAGTTCCTTGTAGTCTCCACAGTGTTGTCTCAAGATATGAGGTGTTATCCTTAGTAAGGCACCTATATGACTTGACTTAAATAATGCTTTAAATCTGAAACAACTGATGTGGCACTAGCTCTGAATTGCAGCTTTGTTGCTGAGATTATTAAATGAGTGCCATGACATCTGTGCAGCCACAGTTTCCGTTTGCCGACCATCTGCGGCCAATCTGATCAGCCCATGTAGTCACACGTTGCTTTATAACCTTGACCAGCTTAACTGAGGTGGAATAAGTGAAGATAATTTTTGTAGCACAGGCAAGCTTTTGATAGATTTAGAACACTAAGGCTTTACAGCACCATGTATTTATGCTAGAGGGCACTCATATTTCGTTCTGAGCAGTATCAGAGCTTGGCATTTGTAGAACGTGCATCCCCAAAGCACGGCACCAACAGTAACTTTCTGGGAGTGCTGTGAGGTAGGTGTGTACATAGATCCCTGTTTTACAGATGAGGAAACTGAGGCAGGAAGCTTAAGGTATTTGACACAGATCACAGCAGGAGTTAAAGAATGTTTAACCCAGGTATTAAACGAAGACACAGCATTCAAGACAACTTGAGAATTATTCTCAAAAAAGCCAGCTCATTATACATATGTATCCATACATCTATGTCTGTGCAGATTAATGCTGGACATGAATTTTTATTTTTAAAAATGGAGACCTTGCTTTCTTATTCCAAAATTCTGTGAGAAAAATGGAAGACTTTAGGAAGAGCACATAAAGAGCTATGTCTCTGTGCCTGGTTCTCCAGGGAGTGAAACATAGCTCTTGTCTGCAGTGCCTATATAGTAACAGAGCATTTAGTGGCAAAGGCACAAAGTCACAGAATCATTTAGGCTGGAAAAGAACTTTGAGTCCAAACATACACCTTACATTGCCAAGTAGGATTAATTTTACAGGCACATGAACCTCATAGGTTCACAGTATAAGGTCAGCTTGAGGAATTTTTCTTTTTTTTTTTTTTTTTTTTCATTTTTCCTATGCAGCAGATATTCACTAGACTGAGATTTTCACTCCTTCCTTTCCAACTAAGCGTCCAGTAAAGTATTGCAGTGAAATCTGCAAACATACGGCAGCATGTGATTTTGTCTCCTCCCTTCCATGCTGTCACACCTCTATAAGAAGAGGAACTCATCTCTGAAGACAGCTCCTGCAACTGAGAATTCACAGCTTAGGAAGGAAAAGTCTGAGTAAGAACAGAAAATGCAAGTGATTTTTCTGTGGCAAGATAGAGGCAACGTTTGTCTTGAAGGGTTTGCAGCCAGATGTCAAGACTTCTTGTCTTTACACACTTCTCTGAAAGACTCCACCAACTTGCATTTTTTGTGAGATGCTGAAAATCAACAATTTCATTTCCACATTATGGCTCAATAAATTCTTCACATCTTCCAGGAGTGTCTCTTAAGACTGTTTCATTTTGCTTGCTTCCTGTGATGATTCATATGCATTTTAGAAGAATGTTTTCAGAAAGCAAATACCCTTCTACTCAACACAGATGGATTCCTGAAAAGTTCTGCTGGTATCTTAGAGTCTGGATAGTGAATTTTTCCATGAGAATAAACATAATGAAGGGATGCATGTTAGGACTTACAGAATACACAGTTTAAACACATGGGGATATCTGTGGCATGACAGAGACAGGAAAAAAATCAATATGGGCTTTCTAAAGGAAATGCTGGTTTAAAGAATCAATAACTCTTTCTGAAAACCCTGATCTGCTTACCCAGGCAACTCTACCCCTGATTGCCTGTTTTGTCATCTCTTACTCTTGACTTGTTCCATTTTGCTTCATCTAAGATAATTCTATCAACTATGAGAATTCAACTCCTCAGAAAGAGGCAACCAATTCTTCATCAGACTCGGAAGCTCAGATCTTCTGGAGAAGTGAAGGATGTGAAATGCTCCTTCATGTTCAGTCCTGTCACTACATCCAGGAGACTGAACTTGCAATGGAAATATTTAACTGTGAGCATTCTTGGTGTCTCTTTCTGAACAGCTCAATTTTCATTTTCATCATAATCTTCCTCATATGAAACAAGATCATTCAAGTTTGAGGGGTGACAAAGAGTGCAATGATGACGCTTGCCTGGTCAAGGTATTGACAAAACATCCTGGAAATCAATGGACAAGTAGGGTGCTGCTGCAGCCCATCACAAATATGAATTTTCAGAAACCTCATGACAAAGAAATGAGTTTTGATATGACCGGTAACACCCAAATGGGAAAACACAGCCATCACCGTGAGTCTTACTTGACCAATAGCCATAGAGAGTTTTGAATAGTTGCTATCAATGAACACCTCATAATAAATTTTAGCTGAAAAAAAAAAAGAAAAATTTAAATATATTTTTGAGAAAATTACAATCTGCTTAGGGACAATGTGGGCAGGCTTGTTTCGTTGAATAAAGCATAAATTGTGAATCATAGTTGTTCAGCTCTTCTAATAGTCTGGAAGTCTCTTAGGATTTAAAGCAAGATGAACAACTGACAATCTTGGAGGAATTCAAGTGTGGTTTTATAATATCTGGTTCAACCGACTGAACTGGATCACTCTCACTAGCAATTATGTGTTTCACCAAGCATCTGGAAGCTTCATTGATGTTTATATTTTCCTGCAAATGAAAAAGAGGTTGATTAGTCAATAATAATAAAAACATGTTGTATATTTCCGTGCATAATTAAATTTTTCTCTCAGTAACATCAAAAGTTTACTTACCATAATAAACAGTCTTCAAAAATTGACTATGTTAAATTTCCAGTTAAAACTGGAATTTTGAAGTTGGTTAAGTTTTATATATATTATGATTCATATATCTTTTAAAATGTATACAGAGCTGATTTTAAATCACCTCAATCTCTTGGTGATTTGATTGCTTCAACAAACTAAAAAAACAAATGCCAGAGAGGTGTTGAAGACCAGTGCCTGAAGGAAAGCTCCAAAGACCATATTTCACTGCTTGAATAATGATTATTCAATTCCACATAGGTAATTACCTACCAGTAATTACAGCCATGCATAGCACTTATTTTTTAAACCCTTTCCCACAATTTCAAGAAGATTCCTGTATGCAATGCTCACAATGAAACCTGTGATGGATCAGTTTCATTGAATAAATTATACCATCTCAAATTACTCACAAAACAGTATAAAGGTTCTGTATAATTCTGAGTCCTTCCTCATTTCTTGTTGAGGCTGACTGCAATGCACTGCATCTCCAATGCACAGATTCAGAATAAATATATCACCATTGGTTTCATTTGTAGGACAGAAATCCTTACTCTAGGGGTTTAAAATTAAAGCTAAAGCACATTTATTTTTTCCTACATGTGCCTGATATCAACTGCACATTTTACTTGCAGCAGCAAGTTCTACTTACCCTTTTTGTAGAATAAGTAAAGCTGAAACAGCTAGATCAGTGAGACACAGTTCAACACAGCATAGAAAATAAGCTGTAGTACTGAGAAAATATTTTTTTTTTGTAAATAACAGCCACCAATATGTTTGGAATGAAAATTCAGGCTTTCTGGTATAAAAGGCACTATTCTAGTGTAACTGTTAGCATTGATTACTTATTTTACAAGGCAGGAGATAGAAACCTCACTGTTCAATCTTCTTCACTGAAACCTCACACTTTAATCTTCTCAGAAACTGTATCACACAGCCACATGCATCCATATGGAAATGCATACCAATATATATGCATACATTTGTGTATATGCACACACTACTTTTGCTCACTAAAGGTAATGTTTTATTTGCAACCTACAATTACCCAAGTTTTCAAGTTGAATCACTGAGTCATAGAACAGTTTTGATTGGAAGGGATATTTAAATGCTATCTAGTCCCAGTTCTCAAGCATGTCCAGGTCCCTCTGGATGGCAGTCTGGAGCCTGCTGTACTGAGGCCATAAACTAGCTATAAAAGAAAGAAACGTGTGTGTTTCAGTAGAGAAGACACATTTATAGGAAAATCAAAAGCTGAAAGAATGGATTCTGTGAAACTGACTTTGTCCAATCCCCTTGAAATCAATGTAATGTCAAAACTCCACAAATTCCATTGTCCATCCCTTTGCACCACAGTAAAGGACTGAAATCTGTAGATCAAACTGAAAATGTTAATTAGTGCAAGATTTTCACAGGTTTCTTCAATGACATACATGAACTTAAATATTTTGTATGTAAAGAATAACATGTAAATCCCCAATACTTTAGAGAAGTACAAATTAATGTACATAGTATCTGCTAGAAAGTAATAGGGGGCTGGGAATCATCTCTCTACTGAGATGTTAAAATTCTGCTGTATCACATGGCTCTCTCAGACCAGACTAGAAAATTCCTCAAGCATGCACTGAAAAGCCTTTTCAGAGCACTGTGAAATTTTATGAAAAGAAACCCAGACAATGAAAAATATCTCTCAGCACTGCTCAGAAAACTGAAGCCAAAACAGGATTGTTAAACGTACAAAAACAGAAATGTAAAATATTTAACATTGCTTTTGTCTTTACTGATGGACTGGTGAGCATTTCCTTTGCCCATGTGCTGCTTCTGTGTTGAAATGGCAGAATGTGTTTATTCAATAAGGTCTTAGGAACTATCTAGGATTCTGCCCAAATTGATTAATGTTCAAATGTATTAACAGCAGCCACCTTTGTCAGAGGCTACAATTTTACAGCATTGGGAAAGGACCCAAGCCTACAATAACATAAAATGGGAATATGTGGGCATCCCTCATCCCTGATGGTGATAGATGGAAATCCATGTGCCAGACATGAGCCTAAAAATGAAGAAGAAAAAGAAATGCTCCAGCCAGTACTCAAACAAGGAAAAAAAAGGAGGGAATAAAAAGTCCTGTCCTGAGTCTAGAGAGGCAGTTTCTAATCTTTAACATTTATATGAACTCTTTAATCTTGGGGATGACAATTTCAGCTGGGGTACAAGGGGAGCAAGAGGAAGGGTGACCCTGGCAGACAGCACAGCCAGTTTTGAGTTTGTGTCTAGCTCCAGCCTGCTTCCATGGTTCGGATGACAACTGGCACACAGTATGGATGAGAAGCAATATGTTAAGTCACGTGCTGCAAGGAGCCTGTGATCATGCCAACAAAGCAACGCCTGCTGTCCCAGATCCCTGCCTTGACCACTTCCTTTCAGATGCTACTACTGCCTTTTGTTACAACCTTAATCCTGTGCCATCCTAGACCTGCAGATCAGACATTTCTGTATTCTGGTCTGACTAATGAAATATTGATTTCTCCCCCTCTCCTCCTGTAGTGTTTTTTGCAAAAGAAAAATCTGTATTCAGCTAGGCAGTGAAAAAGCTACAGACAGTAGAAGGTGATCTTCTATCCAAACACAGACATCCAGAGGCCTGGTGATTTTAGGGCCCATGAAGTGTTGAGAGGCAATCAAGGGGAGGAAAGAGAAAAAAGAGAAAGTGAAAATCCATTCAAACACAAAGAAACCAACAATCAGAGCATAAGATTGGACAGAGAGAAATAAACACAGACACCCTACTAATGGTATTGAGACATGGAAACTGCCTCTATTATACCTGAAAATAAAATTAATTATGTTTCAAAAAAGCAAAATAGGTGAGACAGTGGAAAAATCTCTTTCAGTGGGTCTCTATGTTGAAATGTCATAACTGTCACCTCCCATACATCTTTGTTCTACAAAAGAGCACCACAGGAATTGTGATGATTGCCGAAGTTAATTCTCTTCCCTCTCCTCTCCTCTCCTCTCCTCTCCTCTCCTCTCCTCTCCTCTCCTCTCCTCTCCTCTCCTCTCCTCTCCTCTCCTCTCCTCTCCTCTCCTCTCCTCTCCTCTCCTCTCCTCTCCTCTCCTCTCCTCTCCTCTCCTCTCCTCTCCTCTCCTCTCCTCTCCTCTCCTCTCCTCTCCTCTCCTCTCCTCTCCTCCTCTCCTCTCCTCTCCTCTCCTCTCCTCTCCTCTCCTCTCCTCTCCTCTCCTCT